TATAAAGAAAATGTTCTACATTCTACCTTGGTGAGTAGCATCTGGGGTCTTAAAAGCCTGTGAGCAGCCATCTAAGATACTCCACTGGTCTCACCCCTTCCAGAGCAAGGGAGAATGAAGAAAACAAGATACAAGGGAAAGCTCAGTCCTTTGGACTAATTGGCCACAACTACCATGGCCTCCACCAGACTGAGTCCAGTACAGCTAGATGGTGCTTGGCTACCACCGCTGACTGCTATGACAGGGATCACAAGAGAGGGTCCTGGACAGAGCTGGTGAAAAATTCTAACAAAATTCTAACTATACAAAAAAAGACCAGACTTACTGGCCTGACAGAGACTGGACAAACCCTGAGAGTATGGCCCCTGGACACCCTTATAGCTCAGTGATGAAGTCACTCCTAAAGCTTACCCTTCAGCCAAAGATTAGACAGCCCCATAAAACACAATGAGACTAACAGGGCACAACAGTCCAGGGACAAGGACCAGAAGGCAGGAGGGGACAGGAAAGCTGGTAATAGGGAACCCAAGGTTGAGAAGGAAGAATGCTGACATGTCGTGGGGTTGTTAACCAATGTCATAAAACAGTATGTGTACTAACTTTAATGAGAAACTATTTGTCCTATAAACCTTCATCTATAGTACAAAAAAAAAACAAGTTCTGTGCTTAAACACTGCACCATATGCCTCAGTAGATAGTATAATTCAAGCTTCCTCAAAGAGTAATCCGTAGACTGCCCATAGTAGCAGACCTACTCCATCAGAATCTCTCAGAGTTAAGGCTGAGGAATCTGCCTTTGTAACAAGCCTCCTAGGTAACTGTTGGGCACACCAAAGTCCAAGAACTCTTAGTGAGGCAAAAAGCAAGGTGTGGAGTCAGTTAGGGCAGGTTCCACTCCATCTTCATCTCTTACTAGCAATACCCAAAAACCGACTCATAGCAACCCTATAGGACAGAGTAGAACTGCCTCATAGGGTTTCCAAAGCTGTAAATCTTTATGGAAGCAGACTGCCTTGTCTTTCTCCCACAGAGAAGCTGGTGGATTCGAACTGCTGAACTTTTGGTTAGCAGCCAAGCACTTAACCACTGTGCCACCAGGACTCCTTACTGGCAGTGTAGCCAAGGACAAATTATATAACTGTTTTCTCATTTATCAAATGGAACTAAGAACACTTTGTTTTTAGGATTTTTATAAATATTAAGAAAAAAATTTGCATAATAAATGGTATTTTGATTGTTAATATTATCAGAACAACCGTATTAGTTGGCTTGACTGCAGGGTGTGTACAATCAATTAAAGGCAGAAGGAAAGTCTATGTTTCTTTCATTGATAATGTCCTGAGCCTGTGCATCCTTCCAGATTGTGAGGAATGGTTTTGCCCTTTTGGGGCTTTGCTGTTGTTATCAGAGGAGGGTGGTACAGCAGAACAAATAGGAGGGGCACCAAAGCAGGGAAGCATGAAAGAACTTGCATACAGTTCCTATTGGCCAGACAATACCTTGAAGCTTGGCTGGTGGGACACAGGAGATTGAGCAGCGTTTGAGAAAGTCCGTTCCCTCTGAGCAGGAAAAGGTTGCATAGTTCACCAAAGACTGGTCTGGAATGCCGCAGTCAAGGGGCATGCAACTCACAGCCCGGTCCCAGTGCCCAGAGGAACACGTGAGCAGAATTTCCTTCTAGAAACAGAGAATTTTCCTATGTCAAGGTCACATAGAAAGGCATATCCAGATAATTTATAGGCTTTAGAAGAGCTCTAGAGATTATTTGTCCAAACATTTAAAACAGGTAAAATTATTTTGTCTGTCCCCTTTGTGGTACCATATTGTTTTAATATATAGCCTCATATGGTTTTCAATGGCTGTTTTTTTGGAAGTAGATTTACCAGGCCTTTCTTCCAAGGTGTCTCTGGGTAAACTTGACTCTTCAACCTTTTGGTTATCAGCTGAGCACATTAACTATTTGCACCACCTAGGGACTCCTAGTCTAACAATGCCAAGGTATAATCCTGATGAATGTAAGAGAATCATTACATGGACATGCTCCTCTAGCCCAGCTCCATTGGATGCCCTGCATTTGCTCCACTAGGTCTGTTATCTAACCTTTTCCATCCTGTTCTGGGCCCAGGGACGCCAGCCTGTGAGGAGTTCATGCCTTTGGCTTGTGCTTGAGTTCAGGCCCCGGGACACGCTAGCAGGATATCGGTGAGAGAGGGAGTACAGCGAGGTTGGGGAGCTTGTCTACCTGGGGAGTTGCTATAGGCTGGCTGCATCCTTTGACGGCTTTCCCCACACGGCTCCTGCTCTTTCTGTGGGTTCTGCTAACTGCTCCCCACACTCATCCTTTCAGACCTAGAGGTGTTCACAGAGACCCTTTGCCCTGGGATACTGCACCATTTCCTTGTGATTTCCCTGTACCCTGACTACACCTCTATAAACAGCCCCTTTATTAAATTCTCCTCAGAACACTCACTTTCGAGCATGCCATCTATTTCTGCTAGGACCCTTACTGGTAAGCCAACTGACAATGCTACTGAAAAAAACAAAACAAAACAAAAAAACACTTTTACTGCGAACCATGCATAGTATCTAAGGACTGCTGGCAGTTCATGCAGGCAAGGCCCCTTCCAAACCGTGTGGAAATCAGAAAGATTCTAGCCATTTCCCTATCATTTTCAGTAGGTTAGCCCTAGAGTTGGTGGTGTTGTTAGGTGCTATCAAGTTGATTCCGATTCATAGTGACTGCACGTGACAGAGCAGAACTGCCCCACAGGGCTTTCTAGGCCATAACCTTTACAGGAGCAGATCGTCAGGTCTTTCTCCCGGGGAGCCACTGAGTTCGAAACACTGACCTTTTGGTTAGAAGTTGAGCGTTTAACCATTTGCACCACCAGGGCTCTTGGTTCTAAAGTACATTCCCATTAATTAAATGGACTAACATTTACTGAGCACTTAGAAGGGCCAGGTCCTGTACTAGGATTGGATAAGCCAGATGTCCTGAAGGAGCTAAAAACCTACCAGAGTTGTAAGATACATGTTCAAACAGTGGCTCAAAATGTCTGAAGGAGGAATAATGTAAAGAAGGGGAACGGGAAAGAGGAAGGGAGGAAAGGAACTAAAGAGAGAAAATGCAAAAGATATATTTTTACTGGTAATATCCTACCCCCTTCTATAATGATTTGAGAGAATATGACAAAAAGAATGCCAACAATAAAATCAAAGAAGTAGAAAACGGAGACCAAGAAGAAAGAAAACATAGATATGTAAAACTCAAACACTATAATATATGTAATATGATATAATCAATGTAAGTGTAGAAGTAAAACTGCACTATGGGAATTGGAGGGGCTGCTCCTCCCTGGGCAGGGAGGTAAAGAATTTGGAGCAAGTTTCAAAGTAGGTAGTGCTGTAGCCGGCCTTTAAAAGATGATAAGGACTTCCTAGCAGCCAGAGGGAGACAGGAGGAGAAGGTGCTCAGATTCGGGGGAGAGGGGGAACAGAATGAGCAGGACCTAGAGACCTGTGAGCTCATGGCTAGTTTGGGAAAAAGCACAGCAGTTACTTTAGCCACTGGTTACCAAAGACAGAGAGGGGAGATTCTGCGGCCGAGACAGCCTTCCCACCAGGAGACCACAGTGGCTCCAAAGCCAAAGGTAAAATGACTGGTGAAAGCACCTGTCACTCCCTGACACCAACTCCTGGCTAGCGGCTCCTCCAGGCTTCCCAATGTTTCCCTGTTGCCTGCCAGAGGGACCCAGTTGAAGCCAGACACATTTTCCTGTTTAGCTTCAATTCTTGCATCAACAAAAAGCAATTATCCCCCGTCTTGTGATCACGAGCCGGGATTGTATAATTTCCTTAGTGGGGCCAGTCACAGGTGACGGGGCGGTCAGCTGACCACACCAGATTGTTGGCAAAGGAAAAACCCTCATCTTTTCCCTCTCAACCCAGATTCTGCCCCTTACACACTGATCACAGCCTGGAAGTCTGGCTCAAACCACAATGATTCACTCATCATTGAAAGAATGTCTCTCAAACTCTGCATATACTGCCGGATTTTCTCCTTGCTTTATTAGGTATTGTCTGTTTCGTCTTGAGTTTCCTAATTTTAATGCCTTGCTAACGTCGTCTTTCCTTCTCTCTCTGCCTTTCACTCTCTTTACCTGTCATATCAGTGGATTCAGTCTCTACCTTCTTTTTGCTCTTTTTCATTCTTTCTGTCTCTTTTCTAGTGTGACTACCTTTATCTGGGTTAAGATAGGTTTAAGAACAGGTGATAAGGGCTCTGCCTTTCTGACCAAAGTAACTGACAACATCATTAGACCAAGAAGCTGGTGCCTCAAGACATATTGCAACTGTTTGTCTAGGCAGAACCTGAAACCAAAGATTGTGTCTTTAACCCCGAGCTTTTTCAGGTAAGGGTGATGTAAGAAGTTGAAAATGGATAATAGTGGCAGTTGCTCAACATGATGTACACCATTAATAACACTAAGGTGTACGTGTGAAAAATGTTGACATGGCTAATGTTTTGTTACATACATATTTACCACAAGTTAAAGGAAAAAAATAAAATGAGTCTGTAAATTCTGACCATCTCTAAGCAAGTGAAATTCTCCCATGGCTTCACAACCTGTATAAGGAGTCAACTGGTACAAAACAAAAAAACTTTCCCATCTTCCAAGCCGTTGGTATCTAGCCAACCAATCATGCTTCCACTCCTTCCTCATGACACCACAACTTTCCGATGCTCTCCTCATGCACCACTCATTATCCGTTGTCTAGTGCATCGTTTATCTCATCGTATGATATTTTCTAGTGGTTGATTGCAAGTTTAAAGTTCCTCTGTAGAGCATTGTAAGCTCTTTAAGAGAAAGATGGAAAATGGAATTCTTAGCTGAGAATATACCACCACGCTCAGAATAATACTAGCCAAGAGTTTAGAGTGCTATGTACCTATCATTTTACTAGAAGCTTTATGTACCTATCATTTTACTAGAAGCTTTTTTATTTTTTCCATTAGTCATCATCATACCTTAATGAGATAAATACTTCTGTTTTAATCATTTTATAAAAGTTGAAATGGGCTTAAAGAGGTTAATTTTGTCTTGTTTTTTTGTTTTAAGTTACAAATCTAGCATGCAATGGAGCCAAAATTTCATTCCAAACTGGTCTTCCAAATCTGCTAGTAGAAACTTGGGAATTTGAACCAAAGCTAGATAGAATGCCCATGTTAACAGATTTACGGCTTTTTAGAGAGAAAATCAGGCTCTCCTTCCCAGCCTTCTTATAGGAGGGTTGGGGGGCTGAACAGTGAACCATAGATAAGCTGATTGAAATCTCTCTTCTCTCTAAATTGTGGACACGTCTAAACAGTGGCATTGTCATCTTGAGGCAAAAGTGGGGGACGTAATTTCTGATAGGAAGACAAAAACATAGAAGAAGACTAGAGTAAGCCCTTCCCTGGTTAATCAGAATTGCACATGCTCTTATGTACCCTGCATTTCTATAAAACCTGCTTGTCCTTGCTTGTTAGAGTCCTCATTTTTCCTTTCAAATAATTTAAAAACACCTGCCCTTCCCCAGCCCAGCCAAGGAGAAGAGCATGAGTAGCTCCCTTACCAGGAACTTGGTCCTGTTGACCATGGACTCCAACTCACCTGCATGGGCCTGAGGTACTGCCCGCTCCTGGCCTGAAGGGCAAACCCCCGTTCACAGGTGACAGCACACTTCATGTGACCTGGGCCACCAGAGGTACAATTCACCGCATCCGTGTGATTAAGCAGCAATGGTGCACAGCTGCCCTGCTCCCCGCAAGGCTGATGGACACAGCTGGGAAGGATAGAAACAGAAGGCTCTTAGGGCTGGCTCCGAACCAACAGGCAGGCAGCAGGAGTGACTTTACACCTCCCTCTGGGAAGTGCCTCTAAACCAGGGAGAACAACTATTCTCCAAAACCTACGTTAAACTCGTCACCTCCTTCTATATTTCCCGGAAACATGAACAGTGGTAACTGACTTCTGTGGCTGTCACAGGAGGAACTAGATTTAGGTGATGGGGTGAGGTAAGGGAGTGCCTGAGAGTCCTGCACAGTTTCAGAAATGAATTGATCAGGGAGTGAGTAATACTCGAAATATTTGACATGGTTCCAGGAAATACAGTTTAGGAGCTGAATCCTGGAGGCCCCTGGCTGTGTCAGGCATTAACCTTTTATTTGTTTGATCACAAGGAGGTCCCAGGAGGCCTTGTATGAAGGGCCTGGGTATCTGGGATGGCAGAAAGGGCAGCATCTATTTATTGATAGGGAGTACTGGGGGCATAGTGGTTAAGTGCTCGGCTGCTCACAGAAAGGTTGGTGGTTTGAACCCACCAGCCACTCTGTGGTAGAAAGATGTGGCAGTCAGCTTCTGTAAAGACTGCAGCCTTGGAAACCCTATGGGGCAGTTCTACTCTGTCCTCTAGGGTTACTAGGAGTCAGAATTTGACTTGACAGCAATGGGTTTCGGTTCTGATTTACTGATGAGTAAGGATATATTTTAACAACTGGCACAGCCACAAAAGTACATGCCACTGAGAATCAGCACGGGTTGATCAGAAATTGAGCCAGGATAGGCAGAGGAAGCTCACAGATGCCTGGTACAACCAGAGACATCATCTCAAGCAAAGGAAAAGTACTGCCTGGATTGCTGGGATCAATTAACCAGGAAAAGGAGAGATATATCAACTCTCCAGAGTTCAGAGAGACTCAGCATGGAGTCGGCTTGGACTGGAACCACAACAAGGATGTGATGGAGCAAGAAGAAGGCGACCCTCTTACCAAGACAGAACCACAGAGGTTAAAAATTAGAGCACTGGCCTCAGGCTGTCTGGGTTTGAATCCTGGCTCTACCATTTACTAGCTGGGTGATTTGGGGCAAGTTATCCATTCTCCAGTGTATTAGCTTATTCCCTGTAAGATATGGATAATGATGGTATGTACCTCACAGTCAGGGTAAAATGATTTAATTCACGTGAGGTATGCAGAACAATGTCCAGAACATAAAAGTGTTCCATAAATGTTAACTATTGTTAATATTAGAGACTTTGGGCATGATGAACTAGATTTAGGCAGCCTCAAGCAGTCTAAATGCATAGATGTCAAATTACTTTAAAGTTATATTCTCTAAAGGAATTTTGAACAACAAGGAAGTTCCTCTCCTTTCCTAATTCTTAAGTTGCTATACACAATCTTTTATTAGAAGTTTAAATTGTTGCAAAGGATAGAATGCTAGCGCATTACAAACATTGACATTAAAATAAAACTGCTACATCACTTTAAAAAACTATTCAGTGGAACCTAAGCTATCATAGTGACGTCACATCCACCATCACCCGTTTTAAAAATATGTGAACAGCAAAAGATTCAAGCCATCCAGCCTGCATCTTTCCTTTTTCTCTTTGAATTCATATTTTCATTCCATTTACACCACAGAGTTTTATCTTAATAAACTATATTTTTATGCCTAGAAGTCTTTAATTGATCATTCTAGCATGTTTCTTTGAACCAAAATTTGAAGTGTTAAAATTTTCCTTCAGTATTGTTTTATCATTATTATTATTATTAGTTTACAAGGGATCAAAACAACATTAAAATATTACAGATTTTCATCAATTATCATTATCTATAAGAAATAAAATTCCATTGGAAATTCATCTTTTAATGAGATGTTTGGAATCTTTTTTTCCCCAATTAATTCATGCATCCATGAATGGACATTACTTATTGCTAGAATAAGATAAGGTTCAGCATCAATTCTACTTGTATTTTTATAGATATGAAGCTGGGAAAACCTGTCCCCATTAATAAACAGAGGGTAATGAAGAGACTTAGGTTGTAACAATATTCCTTAATTCTTTAACTCTTTCCAAGTTTCCCACATGTTCCATTTTCTCTCCTCCGCTCATAGCTAGTTATGTGGACTGAACAAACAAAATGTTTGGGAGCCTAAAGACTTTTAAGTTAACTTACAGAAATTTCTGTAAATCGTACACATCCTCGGTGCCCTCTTATAATCTCGACACTTAAATGCTTTGAGCAAGGACATCCTTTAAACTCCTTTACAAGTTGGCATAATCCCCAAGGTTGCATCCTTGAACTTCTTCTCTATCTTGTTTACCTCGATCGCTGGTTCTCTTTCACCCTCGTTCTCACTCTTGCTCTTTTTTCTTCTCTCTCTCTCTTATTCTTAATTGCCTTTGACAAGAAGACTTTGGTATCAGTCCTTATATAATTCCCAGCTCTGCCACTTAGTGCCCGGTGACCATAAGAAAACTCCTTAATCAATCCAAGTACTCATTTCCACCATTAATAAAATGGGGACAATGATACAATCTACTTTATGATGCTGTTGTAAGGATTATATGGTAATGCTTCTACAACACCTAGAAGAAAGGAGGGAATCTCTGGGTGGTACAAATGGTTAACACGCTTGGCAGCTAATTGAAAGGTTGGAGGTTCAAGTCTACCTGAGACATCTCAGAAGAAAGTCCTGGCCATCTACTTCCAAACAATAAGCCACTAAAAACCCTACAGAGCATAGTTCTACTCTGACACCCATGGAGTTGCCATGAGCTGGAGTCAATTCAATGGCAACTGATTTGGTTTTTAGTCAGCAGAGAATAAAAATACAGTAAAAGTTAGTTGCCATAACACAAACGTTGCTTTTGTTACTTTTGCCCACTCCCATTACCTCACCTGTCACCTCTGCTGATATATCCCTTGCCTATAATCCATTTCTGAGGTCTCCTTCTTCCTCCCTTCTTTTCCAAATGTTACCTAACTCTCTCTCTCAGTGCATTTGCTGTATTCAAAATCAAGCACATCATCTCCCAATGCCCTTGCAAATGTGTCTCAGCATCTGTCTTCATGGTTTGCTTGAAGGAAGATACCACATTTACAGCCTGCCCTGATGAACCTTGAGCTCATCTTAGACTTCTTCTCTCCCCACCTGCCAGGTTCTGGGCTAGACCAACCTACAGAGTTCACAGCTAGAGTGATTCCTGTGTCCCTCTACTTCCTGTCATTCATGCTCAGTCATCTTACCCAAGACCTTAACTTGGCAGCTGGGCCTGAGCCTATCTATGAAGTCTACTAATTGATGTATTCAGCCATGCTTCTTTCCATTACAATCAATTCCACAACTCTAGGCTTGGTTAAGGTGCCCTGGTGGTGCAATGGTTAAGTGCTCCACTGCTAACTGAAAAGTCAGCAGTTCAACCCCACCAGCTTCTCTGTAGGAGAAAAGACCTGGTGATCTACTCCTATAAAGATTACAGCGTAGGAAACTCTATGGGGCAGCTCTACTCTGTCCTATAGGGTAGCTATGAGTCAGAATCGACTTGACGACACACAACAAGGTCTGGCTATCTTCCTAAGTAGCCTGTCTTATCACTAGACAGTGAGCTCCTTGGAGGTCGACCTATGTTTTTATTCATTACTGTATCCCCAGTGCCAATAACAATGCCTGTCACAATAGTAGGCTCTCTATAAACGTTAGCTGAATGAATGGATGCACGATTATTCTGATAAAAGCGGTCTTCTCTGCATCCCCATCATCTACTGAATTAAATACAAATTCCCTGTTCTGGTATTCAATGCCTTACAAAATTGAGTCTCCTCTTACATCCAGAATCAGGCATAGTACTAGTAGCAGTACTAGTATAGTTGATTCTGATTAATGGCGACCCCATGTGTGGCAGAGTAGAACTGTGCTCCATTGGGTTTTCAATGGCTGATTTTTCAGAAGTAGACTGCCAGGCCTCTGGGAGGACTTGAACTGCCAACCTTTTGGTTAGCAGTCAAGCACTTCTGGGTTCCAGTCTCATCTCTGCTACATTGGGATGTGACCCTGGACAATTTACCTTGAGAAGCTGTAGTTTCCTCAGATGTACCTCAAGAGAGAGTTGTTGTGAAGATTATAAAAAATTATGTGAAGTGTTAGTATGGTGCCTGGCACACGATAGGAACTCAAAAAATGAAAGCTATTGCTGTTATTAATTTTCTCCACCACTCCACTGCCAATTGCCCAGGTTCCACCCACAGTGGCCTGTCCACAGTCACATGTATCCTTTGGTTTTCCCATTTCTGTACCTTTACTCAATTTGTTGAGATTTCCAAAAGGCCTTCCTTCCCTAAGAAGCCCCTCCAGATATCTCCCCCCTTTCATCCTCCCAGCTGAATTTAAAAAATAGCTCCCTTTTAACATTTCTCTCTATCTTGTGTCATGGTCAATCATGCATTTGCTTGTTTATTCCTTGGTTCGTTCATTCATTCAACCTTTTATCCACTAGGCAATTGGTAGATGAGTGTCTCCTAAATGTTCATCCCCTAACTAGATTATGAACTTCTTGAAGACAAATACTGATTCTTACCCACTTTTATATTTACCGTAACCCTTGCTATAGTAGACACAATAATTATTTGCTGAATTAAATTTGTTCATATTACAGACAACAAGGTAAGTCAATGGTTATCAAAATGGGAAATCTGTTAAATTTTTAAATGATACATGAGAATCTGAAATACAAATATTTCATTCTCAAACAATGATTTAACTATCATTCATTCATTCATTAATAGACATGTACTGAGCACTTACTGTTTTCAAGGTACAGGTCTGAGTACTGGGGATATAATAAGGACCATGCCCTTAAGTAACTAAGTCTAGTGTAAGTTACAGTCTAGTCCAAGAGACTATTAGGATAAACTTAATGTAGCATTATCTTGTTCTTGATGCTGTGGCCAGTGCTGCTAAATATTAGCCAAAATGACTGCTGTGAATCTTGTCATCATT